GCGGTGGGGTGGGTATTTGATGATGTTGATGACAGCTAGTAATTTACAGGGGACGGTATAAGTTGAGTTTATACCAGAAGGGTTCCCCATTGCTTTGTCCAGAACCTTCTGTGATTCCAGCCATAAGAATCCACCTCCTAGTGTAAATGAGGCCGTAAAGAGAAACTACAGCTATTAACAAAACCACCCTTGCAGTGAGGCTACCCCACAATGAAATGGTTAATTGCTTGCTTTGGTCTAGGGACTGAAATAGAGACGATATACTCACCTGATCCTCGGTCCTGCATCAGTCACTGCTCACCTCTCTCCCCCTCCACTGTGGTACATTCCTCAGTGTCCTCACATCTAATGTAGGTGAATGGACCTACATTAGACGTGATGACATCAGCGCGGCTTAGACCACCAGGAGCCCAGGAGAGAAGAGGCTGTGGGGACTGGTCAGGCAGCCAGACGGGACCGAGCATCAGGTAAGTATATCTTCTTTAATCCAGTCCCTAGACCAAAACGAGCAGTTTTGGTCTAGGGACTGCAAGGGTTGATTTTATTAATTCCTTTTAAACTAGCCATATATGTTACAATTTCAGATCTACGAGCAAGTATATAGTGCAAGGGCCTGATTGGATACAAATTGAAAGGGTTGTACAGAAAGGCTCTCATATTACAATGTTTTGGTAACTCTCAATGAGATTGTACAATCAGATTGGAAGGTGTGTGGGCAGTTTAAGTGAGCACCAGCTATGGCAATCATTTCATAAGTATAGAGTCTACCTCTGTTGTGCTGTTTTTCTCCCAGTTCCTTGTCCTTGTGTGTGATCACAGCCTGACACATGTGAATGAGTGACCTAGACATGCAGATCACGTGTCTCCTGGAGAACTCGATCTGCTCGGTGATCATTACATAATACTGCACACCTCTCCAGCCTGCCTATCTGCATGCACTGCAAACACATGCGCACAGGGCTATTTCTCACTGTCACCTCCTAAGGCAAAAATAGAACTGCAAACAGTGCACAGCAATCCATAGAAAGTGACAGGTTGACAAGTGTCACTCCCCCACCCGTTGCTGCAGTCTCCGAGACATACTGTCACTACACAAGCAGGACACGATCGCGTACAGCATGCCGCTCCGGTGAACTTACATTCTACTTACCTTATTTCTCAGTATAATAGCCCCAAATGCAGCTCACACACTCACTTCAAAGCTGACCTCAGTACAGATCCGCATACCAAGCCTCAGTATGAAAGCCCTTTCCTCTTCCGTCTCCTTACCGCCAGCGAGGACTGTGGGCGACATCTAGGGGTACATAGTGGTACTGCGATCCAACTCAACGAGGACTATGAGCGTCATCTAGCGGTATATAGTGGTACTGCGATCCAATTTAAGGTTCGTTCGCACCATAGGTAGTGCGTTCCGGCCAGAATCGGCGGTGCAGCATTTTGATCGCACCGGAATGCAGGCACAATGTACCTTGCGATCCCGTGCGGTCGATCGCATTGCGGTCGCAGGGCGTGGCTACGGTGCCATTCACTTCAATGGCCCGCCACGCCCCCTCAAGCTCGGCAAAAAAGTGACCCAGCCGCAATGCGGGTCAGTGCGTACCGGTCCGATTCTGTCAGGAACGCACTGGATCGTATAGTGTGTTGTGGGACGGGAGAGGGCGTGGCGGTGCATTAAACTCAATGGCACCATAGCCACGCCCTCCAGCCGCAATGCGATCGGCCCACAGGAACGCATGGCACATCAATGCCTGCGGTCCTCTCAGAAAAAATGCTGCAAGCCAGTGG